CTTGCTCATTTTGTGCAAATTAAGTAACTTTTAATTATTTGATGATATGGATGGTACTAAATGTTTTCATTTCAGAATATTTAGATGTTCCATCCCAATAACTCTTGCCAAATGGGCCCTGAATTCTAATGTCAAATATGGAGTATGTGTTTTATAGCATGCGTTATAACCCCAAAGAGAGCCTCAACTATTGAGGCTAATACAACATGCCACATCTCTCTTGCATCAGCAATTGTATTTGGTGGCATCACTGCTGTCACCAAAGTCATTGATTTAACTGATGCTTTATCATTATTATTATCCAACTCACAAAGATTCAACATTATGCAATGATGAGTCATCCTAAGGGTATTATAGTCAACCTGTCAAATAATGTCAGCAGCAAAAATTTATAACCTAAATGCTTCTCTAGTAAAAAACATCTGGTGGAAAATCCATGCATGGTGAGCAACATTTGCATACCAAAGTAATTCACATAAGAGCAATAATCACAACAAACATAATAGGGTGCACATAACCTGCATATCAAATCACTATACAATTGAAATTAACACGCAATGGCTACAATAACTGCCGGAAATGAACTGTGAGAACAAATGGTCATTCTCAATGCATTTCTAAGTAGAGTTAAGGAGAAAGGGCGGCTTACAGCTTACTTTGGCCTGGAAGACAAATCAACATTATCAAAATGATATGAGTGAATTCCATCATAAACAACAGCTCTGACAAGTATGTTCCATGTAATCGCAGTAGGATAGACCTTCCTACTCAAAGCATCATTCAAAAACAATCTGGCGTCTGATATCCGGTTGCACAATGAAAGCCCTTTAAGAGTAATGTTGTAAGAAATAATGTCAGGCTGAAACCCACCTCTGAAAATTCGAGCCCAAATCACAGACGCACTACGCCTGTCCCTTACTTTGTAAAATCCCTCCATGAGTGTGTTGAGTGTGACTAGATTAGGAACACAGTCCCACTGTCTCATGTTTAGATACATACACAGTGCTTGTTCAAGTTTTCCTGCAGAGCAGAGCCCATGAATCATAATATTACCCATAGTTGTATCAGGCTTGATACCTCTGCTAAGAACTAGGCCCCACAAGTTCATTGCCATGTCTAACTTGCCCGTTATGCATAGACCATTGATTAGCAAGCTATACGTGATAACATCTGGCTTCCATCTTTTCTGAAGCATATCCTTAACAATGTCATAGGCTTCGTCAAATCTTTCGGCTTTGCATAAACCATCAACAAGGATGTTATAGGTAACAACATTGATTAAGAAATTTTTATAATTACCAAGCTCACCAAAAATTTTCATTGCATCATCAACCTTATTGCCTTGGATAAAGCCGCTAATTAGTGCATTGAAAATAGCAGGGTTTACTTTAAAGCCACTCTTTCCCATCTGATCAACGATAGAAGCTGCTTCATATAGTCTTCCTTCTTTGCATAACCCTGTAATTATAGCCGTGTATATGTAAGGATCTGGCTCTCCTTTACTCTCATATGCCTCCTTTAACGCCTTTAATGCCATGTTGACATTTGAATTTTTGCAAACCCCGTGAACCAAAATCCCATATGTCATTTGGTCAGCAGCATAGCCATTCTCCTTTAGGAGTCCCAGAACAGCAATGGCTTCCTCCATCATTCCCTTCTCAAACAACCCTTTCATGAATATATTATAACTAGAAACATTTCGACAGTCTTCCCTCCCCATCAAATCCCATAACTCAAAACAAGTTTTAGTGTTCTTGAACTTGAAGTACCCGTTAAGCAATGCATTATAAATAACAACATCCGGTAATATTTCTCTCTCCGTCATCTCCTCAAAGAGCTTCTCGGCCCAATTGATATCTCCAGACTCACAAAACCCGTGAATCAATGAGCTATACGTAAAGACATCCATTTTGACCTCATTTTTCTTCATCCTATCCCATATTTCCAATGCCTCACTGAATCTTCCACACCTAGACAAACCACTGATCATCACATTATAACTCACGGTGCTTGGATAAACCAGCTCACTCTGTATTAACCTGTCCCATATCTGTTTAGCAGCTGCAGAATCGCTCCTTTTGAAATATCCATCCATTAGAATATTATAACACATCACATCTGGTACCACTCCTCTGTCAAACATTTCATCGAACACCTCAGATGCATCGTTCAAATCACCATTCTTGGCAAGCCCGTTGATCAAAGTTCCATAACTATGCACGTCAGGCTTCAACTTCTTATCCCACATCAAGTTCAAAATCTCTTTCGCCTGGCAAAATTTCCTCCGTTTACACGCAACCTTAATCAAAATATTGTAAGTTTCAGTGTTGGGTGAAAGAGACATCTTCTCGAAGTGTTTAAAAAACAGCATTGCTTTATCCAACTGGTTCGAAACCACAAAAGCATTGAGCATGCTGTTGTAAGACCTGACCCCGGGTTGACACCCAAAATTCTTCTTCATGTTATGGAAAACCTCTATGGCTTCATTAACCATGAAGTTTTTGGAGTAGGCTTTGATAAGGGAGAGCACTACATCCTCGGAGCACGGGCAATTCTGAGCCCGGATCATGTCGGAGACCCGAGTAATCTGGGGCGCGAATCGTCGGTCGGCTGAGAGAAGACGGAGAATGTACTGGAAAATGGCGTCGCTGTGAGCATAGCCAGGATGCTGACTCGCAATGTCGAACAGGGCGAGTGCAGAGTTAGCATTTTTCTCGGACTTTAGGAGCTTCAGTAGGGCTTTCGGGGAGAGCTTCCCCGGTAGCCGGAGCATGGGGTCGGAGTTTCCTCTAATTCCCGGCATGCTATCTCGTCTTTTTTAAAAGGGAGTACTGCAATGTAATTAAGCATAATACTCGTGTATACCGAGTTGGGCAATATATTACTCCATCCCTCCCTCCTAAAATATAATCAACACTCCACTATTTAGAAATTACGGGAATTTTTATTTATTTTTGCATTTTAATTGATTATTTGATGGAATAAAATATTCCTGTCACCACTTTTTTTGTAGAACTTTTGACGTAGTTTTTAAATATGTAAGTTTTATTTTTCATTTGTAAACCACTCTTTAAATAAAATGGATTGAAAAAATTCAAAAAATTACTTCGTTTAGCGTAATATTTCTTATATTTTGGGACGGAGGGAGTAAGGTACAACTCAGTACAACCATTTCTCTTCCATTATAATTCAATATTCATTTTCGAATAACTCAATATTTATTTTCTAGTAATTAAATATTTATTTTCTAAAATTGAGTGATGCTCGTAAATTAGTATTCAGTTACTCAATATTAGTATTCTATTACTTGAAAATAAATATTCAATTACAAAAAAACAAGTCGTACAAGGATTTGCACCGAATTGTTCATACTAGCACAAAATCTCATTGCGAAAATTTACGATCACAATAATTTTTTGTATCAGTGTGTACCACCAAAGTGTGAGTGCAAATCTTTAGTATGCAAGTTAATACTTTATCCGGTGTTTTGTCCACTTTCATTTTGACTCTTGAACAAAAAAAGAATGGGCTAAGAGAGTGAAATGACTAATGTACCTTATTGTTCAACTTTTAAAAACTTAGACTACAAATTTGGTAATGTATGTTCTTTTTAAGATTAAGTTTGTAAATAATATTTCTATAATACTCGTATTTATTTCTTTTTTTACTCAATATTTATTTACTTAAAAATATTTTTATTAATGGTATGTAATGGTCACAATGTGTAGTAGTTTGACCCAAAAAGTCAAATAGTAAAGAACTTTATGAGTCATGAATTTTAGAGGATGTTTTGACGTAAGTTTCTATATATACGGAGTATTTTTACCATTATTTTTATAGTTTACATTAATTTTTAAATAAATTAAATTAAAATTAGTTCTAATGAATTATACTAAATAGAATAATAAACATTACTTTCTTCATTTTATATAAACTATTTATTAAGACTTTCTTAGTATATTAAAAAATGAATGAAAATAAAGAAGACTCATCGGTGTCGCTTGCATGCAACAGAGATGTGGATGTTGTGGTGGATGTGTGGACAAACGAGACTGGATAGGACTCTGGACGAGATTATACAAGGTTGGTTAGGCATGGTGCCAGTGAAACATAACCTGCAGAAAGCTAAGTTGAGGTGATTCGATCATGTGAGACGGTGGAGTACTAACGCTCCAGTAATAGAAGTGCGAGAGGCTTACATTGGTAGGGGTAAGTACGAGAAAGAACAAATCTAAGAAGAGTTGGAAGGAGATTATAAAACAGGACGACTTTTTGTCCTTATAGAGGATATGACCTTAGGAGCATTTGGAGAGATAGAATTAGAGTAATTTGGTAGATGTCTTGGGCTAGGGGTGTTGTTTTGTGTGCTTTGTATGCCCTATATGTTTGGTGTTGTTTGCTATTTGCTTGCAGTACTTTTTTCTGGCTCTGGGTATTTGGTGCTTTATCCATGCTCTTTTTACTTTATGTATTTGCGGTGATGCTTCTATATGTGAAGCTTGAGTCGGCAACCCTTTGGAAACAACTTCTCTACTCTCAAGTAAGGATAAGGTCTGCATACATAAACCCTCCCCAGACCATACTTTCGTGAGATCCAACTTTGTTATTGTTCAACTAAATTATTAGATTGTGAATTTAACTCCACAAATATCAAAATGCTTGGTACTCCATCTCTATTGGCTCATAATTTCAATGTTTCTCTAGACTTTTTGACTAACAATATGATTTTTGACTAGTGTTTCATTCGCCCAATCTGATTTTTTGAATATCTAATCTGATTGAATCTAATCTAGTCCATCTAAACGGATTGGATTTGATCAGATCAAATCTGGTTGAACTGAACAAACACCAACGATCTCTTCTAAAACATAGTAGACATCATTTGACATAGACCTAGCATTACGTTTCTAGTCCTGGTGGTTGGCTGACACCGCACCATGACAACTGTGGTGGAAATACATTTGAATTGGAGTATAACTTTTATGTAACAACCACAAAACATTCAGATAAAGAAGTTATTGCAAACCAATTCCAACAATTTAAATGAGTGCATCTCACACTCCTGTTTTGATTCCCCATATCCACTACACAATCACAAGTGATCATCAACAACAGCAACAAAACAACTCACAATCCAGAATATATTGTAGAGCAGAAAACAGAGGGAATAGAAGAACAACAGTAAGCAGAGTGCTTTAGGTCTCCTCCACAGTGGGTTGGGTCAAGCCAAGCTTCGCAAGCAACTTATTCAGAGACTCAGGTGAGTGAGCCAAGTACTTAACTTTATCCTTGCAAAGGAAAACTTCAGCCAGTTCGAGCTTCTCGGAGGTAAGACTCGTGCTATCCATTGTCTTGCTAAGCACTTTGAGAGCAAGCTGGACTGCTTCTTCCCTCATGATCTCGTCCTTGTAGTCCTGTTTCAGCATTGACTGCGCAGCCTGATTGTTTGCCCCAATGGCAGCAGCCTTCCAGCCCCCATAGTTCCCACTTGGGTCACTCATGTACATCTGGAACCCGTAGTTCTTGTCCCACCCTGCGAAGAGGAAGGACACCCCAAAGGGACGGAGCCCACCAAACTGGGTGTAGCCTTGTTTGGTGTCACACAGTGACTGGACGAGTTGTTCCACGGGCATCGGTTCTTGGTAAGCGTAAGTGTATCGCTGAGCCTGGACCCTGGCTGTGTTGATGAGGATGTTGGCGTCTGACATTATTCCGGCAACAGCACATGCCACATGGTCATCAATCTTGTACATCTTCTCAGTGGAGGTTGATGTTTGCAGAAGCTTGGAAGTGACCTTCTTTTCGCCAACCAAAACAACTCCATCTTTGGATAATATGCCTATGGCACTCCCAGCATTCCCAATTGCCTCCATTGCATATTCAACCTGATACAGACGGCCTTCCGGAGAGAAGATTGTTGTACGGCTATCATATCTTCGTGACATTGTGAATTCTCTGCATCAATGAGATTTTTTGTGTCGAGGAGAGAAAATAAGACTAAGTGTGAGTTTAATTACGAGTTGGCAAATATGCATGCGTTTCCAGCAAGTCAGCAACACAACATACAGTTTGGTACATAAACAGTTTGCTCCATGCCTCCATCAAGAAGCATTTTAAATGAATTAAGAATTTTATGGACTCTGTAATGTCAAGCTAAATCTATCAAAACTTAGATGGATGAACTTAAGCATTCTACAAATGGCAAGATGATTCTTAAAATGCCACATTAAACTTTCTTGCTTGCTTCCTATGAAGTTTTGGCCCTTTTGGCCGGTAAATGTAGCAATACATCAATTTAACCTCATTGAATAACAAACACTATATAAATAAGAATGCTTGAGCAAGCAAATTAATGTAACTAAAAATATTGACAAAATAAGGGCAAAAAATGCAGTAAATTTCTAAACTAGTAATAAATAGTTACAGAAAGTCAGAAATCTTTGATTCCTTGAGGTAGTAGATAATATCAAAATTTAAAGTACAGAAACTGTACAGCCAAATCATCTTGTAACAAATAAAAGTATACAAAAAGCAATAAATAGAACAAATCAAATATATATGAAGCATGCAAATAAGATTTGTAGAGTAGTACTTCATAAACATCTTATAGGATTTGGTATTAATAGAAGATCTGTAGAGGGGTGTCTCAGATTAGGAACCTTCAAGCATAGATCTAAAAATCCATTAATGATGTAAACATCTGAAATTTGTGCTTCATGTCTGAATTGTTGAAACAATACTTATTTTTGTTTGGGAAAAATTGATAGTTGTGGAACTGTGGGAGTTGTAGCAGCAAAGAGTGGAGAAATGAAAGGTAGAGAAAGAACTACCAGGATGTGGAAGAAAAGCAGATCTTATACAAAGAAAAAAATATAGAACACAACAAATATATCTGATGCATGCAAATAATATCTGCTGAGTAGTGTTTTATACACATCTTAAAAGATATGGGACTAATATAAGATCTATAGAGGGGTGTCTCGGATTAGCAATTTTCAAGCATAGGTCTAGATCAAGAATTCATTATTCATTAATGATATAAACATCTAAAATTTGTACTTCATTTCTGTTAAATAATGGAGGGGTGCAGGGTAGAGAAAGAATTACCGGGATGTGGAAGAAACGTGAACTATCAAATAGGAGGTCAGAGCCAAAGGGAGGCTTAATTATATTCTTGTGGAAAAATAATGGGATCTATCTAAGGTTTAGTAATACTTTTGTTTGGTTGGAAGATTAGGAAGAGGAGGAACGTGGAAGAGCTCTGTACTCCTAAAAACTCCAGATATACCAAAGTATCATGTATCTCAATTCCCTAATTTGGGATACTTGGGATGCATTTATAGTTGGGTAATTTACCTAAATAGGACCAAAACATAATGACTTTCTCAATATAGGACCATATGTTTTTATTTCCTAATGTAGGACCATTGGTCATTATCTATTAGTCATTATTCAACTAAATGTCCAGCATCACTTAGACATTATTCTTCTCACTAGTCATTATTAAGTCCTGTTTAGGGAATAAAAAAGTTTAAGTCCTACATTGGGAAATGACTTGTGTTTTAGTCCTATTCAGTGCAAATTTCACGTTATAGTTTCCTTAAATTCTTTTCATGCTTTTTTATTGAAATTGTTCTACATTCTTATTGTTACTCGGTTACTCCGTATTAGGCATATACATCAATACAATTTTATTTACATAAAAATGATTTCAAATATAATAATTTAAAATGTATGTTTTTCTAAGTTGATAATTCATCTCACTCCTCCAATGAGCCAAGCATAACAAACATTTCAAACTCTTCTTTTGAATCAAACAAGGCTTACTGTTAAGTTGGTTGCCATATTATTCAAGGAAGCTAGTAACACAGAGGTTTTCTCAATGAAGTGAATACAAATTAAATTCCCACACTTTTATGGAATTTATTTCTCAATGGGGCAACTCCATAACATATGATATATATAAACTTGGAAGGATAAAACTCTCTCAATGCAGAATTGCAGATGCATAAACATTCCCTCAGCAATGACTATCATGTCGCTTATATCGTTTCTTAGATGACTCAGTATAAAGACAATCGTGATTTCCACCACAATGGTTACAAGCTAGTCATTGCATAACACATAATCTATTCAATCAACATATAGCAGAAAACGCGGGCAAATATTTTTTTTCTGGCATCCAATCAAAATTTTAAAAAAAATCAATTTTAGCAACAAATGTGAAGATTGGAAAAACAAAACCCCAGCCAAATCTTAAAATTTAGAAATAGTGAAAATTCTCCAGAGTAAAAATCACTTTTCGATTCCTAATCTCCCTGGGTCAGATCAGAACGGTTTTATTCAAATCGACATTCAAAATCTGGAAAACTTTATTGTAACCTAAAGCAACAAAATATCCAAACTTTGTACTAATTGAAAAAAAATAACAATCACACAGAAAACCACCATGTGAAGAATAATTTGAAAAGAAGAGGGACGGACCTGGTAAGCTAATCAACACTGGCTTTCTCGAAATGTAAGGCGAGTCGAGTTGTCGCGTATACTTAGGCTATGTTTGGTTGGAGTAGGTAAAAGTTTTATTAGGTAGGTAATTGAGGGTAGGTAATTGAAGGTAGGTAAAGTAAGGTAATGAGTTACAAAATTGTGTTTGAATGTTTATTAGGTAACGTGAGGTAGGGAAAGAATAAAATTACTAAAATATCCTTGTGGTTGTTTTTCTTTATTTGTTTAGGATGTATCTACAAGAAAAGAGCAACTTGTTCTTCAATACTTATCCACTTTGTTGCTTTTAATCCACCATGACGCACTAATAGACCACATAAGTTCAAAAACGCATCTGGCCCCATTCGTATCATATCTCGACATACAAGTCTATTCGTCAACACCTCTCGCACAACATTTTTTAAATCCTTTGATTCTAAGGAAATTGATTCATCCACAATTCTCGTTCGATCTCTTCTAGTGCATAAATACCATACTTGTAGTAATATGAATACCGAAAACAAAGCTGTCATATGATTTAAGTAGAGATAATCAAGCATATCACTATCCATTGATGCCACAAATCAGAACCTAAAAATTTAGCATAATTCACGTTATTTTGTAAGAACTCAAATCACTAGAACCTACAAGTCCAGATAATTGCAAAAAAACAGAGTACAATAACAAAAGTGCAGAAAACGAAGTACAATAACAAAACTACAAATTAAACATAAGAGTATTTATGTAGTTTTGTAGAATATTAAATCTACCTAATTATGTAGATTATTCTCTAATGACTCTTTTAATTTTGATTGACAATGCAGCAATACAAGTTCAAGTGATCAAATGTCTAATTTCTTTTTAAAAAAAATATAATTGACAATGCAGCAATACAAGTTCAAGTAAAAGATGCCTACCAACTTAAGCATTGATTTCACAAGGAAATAATTCATGTCAAAGGCAAAACTTCTTAAAAAAATCCATTTGGGTATTTTGGCATCAGAAGTGGTTCACGAAGCATAAAAAAACAAATTGAAAATTAAAAAAAGTCATCTATTGCAATATTGTCTTCTATATCACAATGTGAAAAAGGATAAACTTCTTCTTGCATAGCCATAACTAGATAAATCAATCTATAGCAATTAATTAATCCTGGAGCTAAATATACTTTCCATCTTTAGCAAGAACCTGTTATACTTAATTCACAGCCCTATTGATAATAATATAAAGAAGTCATTAAATGTCCTCCGCATCTTGGGTAGAGTCATCTAAACTAATAATACAACAGCAATAACAAAACTAGTAATATCCCACATAAATTAGGGTATAGGGAGGGCGTATGTAAGCTGATCTTAGCCCTACTCGAATGTAGAGAGGGTGTTTCCAAGAGACACCGGACTCAAATACAGAAGCACACAAAGTACACAAGGTAGCGCTAGCAAGAACAAAGTAATAGCACAGAGACAAGAATGTAGAGAGGGTGTTTCCAATGTGCATATAATTTATATATTCCATATATCAGGAATACCAATTACAGAGTTTATGCACCAGAAATTTAGTTATATATGAAGTATGTATTATTTCGATTTCTATTGAGAACTAATAAACTACATTCACGATGAATATAATTAAGCTATCATCTCTAATGACTCTTTTGCATCAATACAAGTTCAAGTGATCAAATGTCTAATTTCTTTTTAAAAAACTATATTCCAATGTTCATAAAATTTATATATTCCATATATCAGGAAGCAAAAAGAAACAAAAACTGAAAAACAGAAACAAAAAAAAGTGAAAAAAAGGAAAACTGAAAAAAAGGAAACAAAAAAAAACGAAAACTGAAAAAAAAAAGTGAAAGAAAGCTGGAAACTGAAAAACTGAAAAAAAAAAGTGAAAATTGAAGTGCAAAAAAAAGTGAGCAATGGCTATAGAAATTGAAGAGCATAGCAGAACAAAAATAAGCACGTAAAAAAATCTGAATTGAGCAGCGAAGGAGCAGATGGCGATCAAAATTGAAACAAAAAAAAAAACTATGCAGCGATTATGGCGGAATTGAAGAGCAGAGCAAATCTAGAAAAAAAAGTGAAAATTGAACTGCGATCGGAATACCTGTCTATTGGCGATCGGAACCTGAAGAAGAAGGCGATGTGAAGATCGCTTTTCCCCCCAGAGTGTTAGAATCGAAGACAAAGGGGATCCCTTTTCCCTCTATCAGTTACTATCGGCTGTCTTTTTGCCCAAGACAGGCTAGCTGAAATTGGGAGAGGTATCTGAACTTCAAATCCTTTCACAAAAATCCCTGAAATTACACCATCCTTTCACTAATGAGCCATTAGCCCGTTTCTAGGTTAACTTCCGGTCATTAGGGTCAAATTCGAATTTTATATATTTTAAAAAAAGGTGTCAAATTTTAAAATATATAAAATTCGAATTTGACCCTAATGACCGGAAGTTAACCTAGAAACGGGCTAATGGCTCATTAGTGAAAGGATTGTGTAATTTCAGGTATTTTTGTGAAAGGATTTGAAGTTCAGGTACCACTTCGAAATTCCAACTAAAGTGCAGGTACCATTTGTGAAATTTACCCGCCCAAGACAGCATAAATTTTTTGATACATACGAATGCTAATGGGAAATGAGAGCTCCACATTCAGCCCATTGAAGCCCATTTACAGCATTCAGTCCCTAAAAGCCCATATAGAATGTATGCGTTAGAGATAGCAAGTCAACCAGTACTCCGTACTATTTAGGGCTATATTGGTTTGGTTCTTTTGACATTAGTTCAGACTAGTTCTGTTTTTATATACTCTCTCCATCCCAAAAAGAATGGGACGGTTTGACTTTTTGAAAAATTAAAAAAGGGATATTTTGGTATTGATTTTCCAAAAATATCCTTGATGTGATGAGTAAAAGTAGGATGTGATGGGTAGATTATTAGAAAAAAGGTATGATGTGATAGGTAGGGTATGAAAAAGTAAGGGGTAAAAGTGGTTTTTTAATAAAAATGTAACGTACTTTACGGGACGCAGTTTTTTCTAAACGTAACAAACTTTTTGGGACGGGAGTATAAAAAGAGAATAAAATTTTATAATTGGTCTTTTATGATAGATAGTTTCCCTATTTAGTCCTCTATTATCAAGTATTATACTAGTGGTCTTTCTTTTATGGGTATCTTTCCACAAATAGTCCTTTTTTTATCTTCTATCATGTTGGAGTTAATTTAAGAGCTAAAATTGTAATTTCACAATGATAATATATATTTTTTGTCATAAAAAATTCCAAATGTTGTTTTGTTTGCGTCGTTTGTGAATTACATTCGCTTTTTATTACAACCATAGTCTACAAATGTGGTTTTCCGTCAGAATTTTAACCCACAATCATAGTCATTTTTTTGTGTTATCCGCTTAACCAATATTAGAACACGTCATTAGACATAATTTTGATGTCAAATTATATTTTTAGCCTTTAAATTAACATCCACATGTCGAAAGATAAAAAAAGAACAATTTGTGGAAAGGCATCCTTAAAAAAGGACTACGAGGGTAACATTTGATAATAGAGAACCAAATATGGAAATTCCCTTATTATAAAGGACTAATTATGGAATTTACTCTATAAAAAAATGGGAGTTTTTAGGACCAGATAGTGCAGTTAGGATCAGTTACAGAGTGTATATAATTTTTTATTTTTTTGTTCTTAAAAAAGTTCTTACTTTTAATTATTTAATTTCTATGTAACTATTTATGCAATATGAATATTTTTATCTAAAGTAGATATTGGATAGAATTAACAAAAAGACTAATTTTAATTTGTATGTTTTGTATATTTGAGATTTTTTAGATGATTATCATTTACTCCCTATCTGAAAATCTACAAAAAAAAAATGTAAATTACTATCCTATACTCAGTATATTGATAGAATATATGTATTTATATAGAATTAAACTTTCAAGTATAAATATATTGATACACATATTGTATTTCAAATTTATTGCGAATCTAGTCATAGTCTGGTTATAGTCCGGTCCTAGTGTACTCTATCAGAAAAGGCCACCCAGTCTGGGACCGATCTAGTCTCTCACTAAAATCAAGGACCAAATGAGATTACCTATATTATCCCGAACTGGTCTCGAGAACCACTTCGCTTCCATCATTTATATAATCATAATAAAATTTTAGTATGTTATTCTTAACATTCTTTTCTTCATATTCAACACTCAATTATCCTTTTTGAGGATTGAAAGATATTGTTTTGGCAATATCTTCAATGTGGCGTTCTAGGTGTGATTTTCACATTTTGGTAGAATTTGCTAATTGGTATTGTACCAAAATTATTTATTGACAATTATATTTGCAAATAGTGTTTACTATAGAACAAAATTTAGGGTAATCCTAAGGGTACACCACCATAGGATATCCTATTTGTACACGAGACTAGCATAGACACACACAGACACATTGTGTTAGTCTTGTATGCAAATGAGGTATTCATGTTTGTGTACCCCTAGATTAATTCTAAAATTTATTGTACCACATGATTCTTGATACTTAAAAGAGCCTTGTGAATTTTTTCCCTAATTCTTTTTGTGATGGTATTGCAAATTAGAGTTGAAAATATTGGGCTTTTTGGTCATCTTAGTTTTTTAAGAATAAAGTTTGTGTTGAAAAGACTAAAGTTGGAGTAAAATATACTAAAATATAAGTTTCATATTTTTATTCTCAAAATATGAGTTAAAATGCATATACAGTGTCAATAACGATCATATACATCACCAAAAAGTATTGTGAGATGTCAATATACATTATCATACTATCACATTGTAAACTCTTATTTCGGGGATAGAAACATGGAGCTCATATTTTGATACTTTTTTACATTTTATTTCTATTGGGAGTGATCTCTTTTTTATTATCTATTGCTTTCATGACACATTCAACATATTTATCTAATCCAAAAAGGTAGAACTAATACTCCCTTTGTTTAAAAATAAATAAATTCTTTACTATCCAAAAGCCACAAAAACTTCTACTCTCTCCGTCCGGAAAAGAAGTTTACGTTTTGATTTTTAGTCATTTTTATTGATGGTTGACGATGGAGTTAATTAGTCCAAAATGCTCTTCCCTATTTCTGGCCGGTGGATTCGTGCAGAATAACAACCCAACCACCCATCTTCTACTCGCATTCCTTATTCCAATTTTCCACAGCAGTTGATAATCCAAGATCCCCATTCTCCTCCTCCTCCGCCGGAACAACAATAGTTTCTAGAGCCCCATCGATGGTGATGGTGAGCCGGCGGCCAACAGAACCAACCCAATCCCCACAACCATGACCAGATTATTCAGCTTCAGCCACACCACCTGATGCTCCAGCAAGAACAGCCCCCCGCCGCCGCATCCGCAACCGCAGCCCGCACTCTGTCACCGCCAGCCCCCATCACCGCTAGCACCTTAATCACCCTCATCTCCCATCTTTGTGATTGCAGATCTGTTTAGATCTAGAAGAAAGAGGGAGAAGGAGGATGAGGAAGAAGAAGAAGAAGAAATTAGATCTACACAAAGAGAAAGGCAAAAAGAAGAAAATAAAAAAGAGGCGCTGGGAGGAGAAACAAAAGAGAAGAAAGAATGAGGATAAAGAAAGAATGAGGATAAGAAGATCACAGAAGAGAGGAGAAAGAAAGGAGAGGAGAAAAAAAGAAAAGAATGAGAGGAGAAAAAAAGATGAGAAAGAAAGAAAGAAAGGTAAAGAAGAGTATTTTTGGAAGAGTGGATTAAAATTAGAAATGTAAACTTTATTTTCGGACGGAGAAAAATTAGAAACGTAAACTTTATTTCCGGACGGAGGGAGTATTTTTTTAGTGTATTTTGATTGATTATTCAATAAAATAATATATTTTTGTCACGTCTCTTTGTAGAACTTTTAGATTTTTTTTTGAAATGACATGCAATTCATTAAACATTCAAAAATGGAACAAGAAAGTCTGGTGGGTTAAACTCTCACGTATCAACACAACTCTCAACCTGTCTAGCTAGTAAATGAGCCAAAACATTCTCAGGTCTATGCACAAAACGAAAGTCAATGTGCCTAAATGAAAAAATAAGAGCAAAGCAAGAATTTAAAAGTGAGCCCATGTTAGACAACAAGATGCATTTCCTTGCTGTAAAATTTGAACCAGTTGAAGATTGTATCACCATATCAATGCCACTGTTTTTTAGCCAAGAAAGGGCCTCCCTACATGCCACAACTTCAGCCATAAATGGATCAAAATCACTTTGGGTGAAACCATTAATTGCTACCTTAAAAGTGCCATCAGGTGCAAAGAGAAAACACCCAACCCCGGTTAACCTCATACAGGGAAAGAGAGAAGTATCTATTGAACACCTCCAAAAGTTAGAAAGCCCCTCCACCCTCACGGGCTGCAATAAGACCCTTGTCGTTGGAGCCATATGTGTTCTGCAAGTGAATAATCTGGTGCTTCAAGGTTAAGGGCATGGCAACAACACGATGCCATGGGGCATCATTTCGGTTCTTCAACAAAACCTATATCGCCCAAGCAATCCGCTGAAGGTCAACTGTTGAAGTTGTAACCATAGCCTGCTCAAGCCAAGAAGGAAATCTAGAGACAGACAACTGATTCCCCCCCACCCCACCCCAATGCCAGAAGATTCCAAATAGAATTAGCAAGAGGGCATGTGAGAAAAACATGTTCAATTGTCTTCTTCGTAAAGCCACACACTGGACAAAGAGGTTCCAACTCCAAGCCTTTAGAATTAACAGTACACAAATCCCACAATCTGCTCGCTAAAGACAAACACGTACTTTAGGTGCAAATGAAAATTTTCATAGTCTTCCCCAACAAAAAAAGGTCAGATCTGGCAAGGCTCCCCCCATGAATTTCTGATAACCATCTTTAACTATGTATTAACCCTGAACATCACCCTTCCAGTACCAAGTATCGTGTGGGTAATAGTTGAACAGCAGCTTTTGGATCTCATGAACATCCCTAGGACAGAGTAGAGAGTTAAGAAGAGAGATATTCCAAAAGTCTAAATCACGGTCAATCCAATCCGCAACACGCGTGTTGCCACCCATCCCCGGTGGGGCAAAAAATAAGTAAGGGTTAACTTCATTCAAAATCCTATGGGTTCCCCAAGCCATAGTGTTCTCCCGATTACCTACCCGCTGACGCACACCTCTTCTAAGCAAGCCTTGAGCTTCTAGAATGCT